TACATTCTTCCTAGATCTGATACTTCTCTCTATTTAATGCACTTGTCTGCCATTCAATTAGTATCCTCTTCTATTGCCTATGAGGACCACCTAATTATAATGGGAGATTTTAACATATCTAACGTGTCTTGGATCTCTTCCAGCACGACTTTATCGACGGCCTGACGGACTTGTCTCTGGGCCAGATAAACTTTGTAAAGAACCATTTGGATAGACTTCTCGACTTAATATTTGTTAATAACGACACTCTAGCTAATGTCCTCAGAAGCCCTCCCTTTTCTCTGCCTGAAGACCCCTATCATCCAACCCTGTTGTTGAATGTTGAGATCGTTGCAGAAATTCAGACTAAGGCGACCTTACGCGTAAAATGTTTCCGCAATGCCAATTTTGTTGGTTTACACCATCATTTGAGTGCTATCGATTGGTCCTTCTTAAAATCATGTAATGACATAGAAACTGGAGTGTCATCCTTTAATTTGACATTGCAGTCGTCATTAAATCTTTTCGTTTACACACCCGAACTGAATCATCATCTTTAGACATTTCTAATCTTTTTGCAAACTTTTTTCAGTCAACCTACGCTCTTCAATCCTATGACTTTTCCACTCCCTACCCTTATGATCTGCCCTGCATCAATAATATTTATGTTCCTTAATTTGATGTTCTTAAAGCCCTTCTGTCGCTGGAAACGTCATATTCCACGGGCCCTGATAACATCCCTAGCTGTGTTCTAAGAAACTGTGCCGAAGCTCTGTCTTGACCAATAACTTTTCTATTTAACTTATCTTTATTATCTGCAGAGCTCCCGAGAATTTGGAATGAAAATTTTATTATTCCAATTCATAAAAAAGGCTCAAGGTCCGATGTCGAAAATTATCGTGGTATAGCCAAACTTTCTGCCATACCTAAGCTTTTTGGTCAGCTGGTCACTTGTCAACTTCAACATATGTGTGCATTTGATTCAGTAAGCCATAGCCTTCTCCTTCATAAACTATCTCTTCTTGGTTTTCCACCTAATTTACTTAAATAGATGTCTGCCTTTCTTTCAAACAGAACTCAACGCGTTCTCTTCAATAATCAACTTTCCTTCGTCGTAAATGTTTTTTCTGGTGTCCCCCAAGGAAGTCATCTGGGGCCACTACTTTTCGTTAATTTTATTAATGATCTTCCAAAAGTAGTGTCATTTGCATCTACTCTAATGTATGCGGACGACGTAAAAATTTGCCTATCATTCTTTAACCAAATGTCATACCTTCGCCTACAGTCGGACATTGATCAATTACAATTATGATGTTCCAACAATTTACTGCTTCTTAATCACACTAAATGCAAATGTATGTCCTTTTACCGGACTGCAGCCCACATACACTCTTACCATCTTGGAAACTCTACTTTAGAACGTATTACGCAAGGAACTGATCTTGGTGTCCTATTTGATAGCAAGTTATGTTTCAAAAGCCATATTTCTTTCATCATTGGTAAAGCTAAGGGTGTTTTAGCCTTCATAAAACGTTGGGCCAAGGAGTTTGACGACCCGTGTACAACAAAGACTCTTTACATTTGCATGGTTCGCCCCATTTTGGTATACTGCGCATGTGTTTGGAGCCCTCAATATATTGATCAACAAAAATTAATCGATTCAGTCCAAAAGCAATTTTTATTATTTCCTCTCCGACAGCTGAATTGGGACCCGGTGAGGCGTTTGCCACCTTACTCTTCAAGGTTAATGTTAATTGATCTAAAGTCTTTAAAACATCGTAGAATGTGCAGCGGAGTAATTATTTTGTATAAGCTTCTCATAGGTGAGGTGAATTCTGGCCTCCTCCTAAGCATTATTGACATCGCTGTTCCCTCAAGATTTACTCGTACTTTTCGACCTATTCACTTGCCAATTTGTAGATCCAACTTTGCCCTTCATGAGCCCTTTCGGGTGCTTTGTTCCAATTATAATGCAGTATACCCTGCAATATCTTTGGAAAATTCTATTGATCGGATATCATCTAACATTTATGCTTTTCTTGAGTCATATAATATTTAGTTAGTTTAAGTTATATTTATTTTTAGCATATATGTGTAAGTTAGCAGTTCATTGTTAACTATAAATCAATAAATAAAAAAAAAATACGCTCTTGACAGACCAAGAAAAGGGTCTGGCCTATTTTCGGCTCGGCTTGAATGTGAGCCAAATATCTAGAAATATTGGTAGGAGTCGAACCGTTCCAACAAATTTTTTCTAGAATCCAGACAATTATGGTAAAAAACGAAGCACTGGTCGAAAGCCAATACTTTCTGACTGCGAAAAAAGGCGTATATTACATAAAGCCAGTAATTCTAACGCGTTGTGCTCCCAGCTAGCTGCTCTCAGCAGTCGAAAAGTTTCTCAAATGACTGTGTGGAGGACTCTAAAAAACTAGGGGACATATTGTCAGAAGTATTTAAAAAAAATACCTCAAATTACTAAGCGTCATAATATGGCTCGCACTAGTTTTGCTAACCGCAATTAAGATACTAACTGGAACTCAGTAAATTCAATTTAACATATATCTTTAATATTACCCTTATCATTTTTTTTCATAAGGTAATTTTTTTGGATGAAAAAAAATTTAATCTCGATGGACCAGATGGATTTAGACATTATTGGCAAGATTTGAGAAAGGAGCCCCTTAATTTTTCAAGGAGAATTTTCGGGGGCGGATCAGTCATGGTTTGGGGCGCTTTTAATAAGCTTGGAACTCTTAATTTGTAGTTCACAAGCTCCAGGATGGACGGCAGTGAGTACATACGGGTACTGAACAATAGCCTGCTTCCATATTTGATGGAACATCGGGAAAAGCCGCATATATTTATGCAGGACAATGCCCGAATCCATACGAGCCGTCAAACCACACAGTTTTCGTGAGATTGTTCGGTCGAAGTTATGGACTGGACAGCGTGCTCTCCGGATCTGAGCCTATAGAAAACATTTGGGGAGTAAAACGAGTTTATAAAGATAAGGCCAAGTATGAGCGCGTTCAGGACATTAAAAAAGCTATTTTGTCTGAATGGAGCCAACTTGAGCCAAGTTTATTTGAAAAACCTCATAAATTCAATGAAAAAACAATTTTTTGGTGTTGGTATTTGTCAAGGTTCTGCCATAAACTATTAAAATGTTGTTTGGTTGATATTATATAAAATATCTAAAAAAAAATCGAACTGTCTTATAATTCTGATATGAACTGTATTTTGATTCTCCAGAAATTCTTTAATTTTTGCCAAAAACTGATTTGCGCTTCTGATTGGCTTAATACTAGATTGTTTCACAGGAAAATAGCGTTTATAATAAATTGCCTTTTTGAATTTAAACATTTAATCCTTGGAAACAAAAAATTATTTGTCCTTTTTAAAATGGTGGAGTAAACTTGTTAAATAAATATGAGGGTTCCATAGTAGTTATAATTTTGTGCATGTTAAAGTTATCTCGACTGGACTGCCTTGTATTTCCTGCCATTCATGTGAAAACAATTTTCATGCCAAGTGCTTTGGCTATTCTACCATGGTTTGCATGGCATCGCAAAAAGAAAAGTGGCTTATGCTACTTCAGTGATGAAAGCATCGCATTTGAAATTAAGTGTCTCAGAAAGGACTGTGTTGCGGAAGTAATCCATAACTGCAAATAAAATATGAATTTACTTTTTGCGTCCGAATCGCAGCTTTCCAGCCCTATGCTATCCGAGCCCGATTTCCGCTTGAAAAAAGTCGACGTAGGTCTTTGGCAATCGCCGTGGAACCCGCTCCCGCACCGAAACTGCCGATCCTAGGTGTCGCTACAATGGTACTAAGATTGGATGATAATATAGATTCGCCTTATGTGCAAGAATACGAAGCTAATACCGTTGAAGTGCCATCTCCACCGCCTTTTACATCCCCTTTGTCGCAAAAAAAACCTTTCTTCTTTCCAATCAAAACACAAGAGGGTTACTTGGAAAGCTGACTTAAGTGTTCTCTGATAGTTTTCCCTTTTAATACCATGTTATTGTGTTCAAAAAAACCAGGTTAAAATCTGAGATTCTCAATTCCGAAGTTTTTCCAGGTCATTACCCATTATGTAATTTATATCGAAAATTATAATTTCCCTGTAGTTTTATGAATAAGGGTGTCGAAAAAAACTTTCTGTATTTTCGCTAGGTGAAAGGTATGTAACATGTGTAAGGAAGTGTTTCCGACCCTATTAAGTAACCCCCCGACATGTCCGCAATTAAAGTACTTTTTTGGAAACAATATAAGCTAAAGATTTGCGAGTTGACATTCGGATTTTAGTTAATCTTAGGCAGCGCAAGTTTTTTTTCAAAACGTCCACAAATCGCTAGAGTCTGTCATGTCACTCCGAGACATGTGCTGATCACTGCTGGCGTAGGGCCGTGTTGATCACTGCCCTAAATGAATAGCTGAGAAGGAAAATGACCAGTTTGTCCTGATACATGAAGACAATCAACCTTCCAAGAATGACTGTAGGTTTGAATAACCTTCTTAGACCCTGGAACTGACGGAACTGACTAGGTTCGTCTCTTCCATTATTAAAATAATATCAAAAGTACCGGGTCCAAAAATCTTTTTTGCCTGTGTCTTAACCTAAATAGATTTGAATTGATTTTATGACATTTTCAAAAGACGTTATAACAATGTGCGTTCTGTCACTTACCCAAAAAATAACACTTAAGTAAATAAATAGTTATAAGTATCTAGCTTTTAAGGTAATCTCTACGGTCAAAACTTTATTGCCGCCTAGTTAATCTGATCAAGAATATATATACTATAAGGTTGCGCAATTATCTTCTTCACTACCTTACAAACATTCGACCAAAATTAAAATCCTTTCTGCAAAGGTCTAAAAAGGTATTTACCAAAACAAGTGTATCTTCTTAAAGTGTTTTATTTAAAAGTAGCTATGAATTCATTACATAATATTATAATAGACTTGGACCCCTAAAGTTAGTAAGCTTTTTTGACTTTTTAAAACTTACCTGTGGCGTAATTTCACCAAAAAGTACGATGGCCAACGTGGAGAATATAACAGCAAACAGTCCAGAAGTTAAACCATCCAGTAGAATGGTAAAGGTTGAGTTAACCAACACATTACCCAAGAGAATACTGCACAAAAGATAATTACCTTGATCTCGAACCGGTGCAATTTTCGATGCATATTTTTTTTCTCTTTCTGTGCCAGTGTTCCGCAGTATCTAGTACTTTAAAATTTTATAAGGTGCTATAAATTAAGTTATTTTTATCACCTTTAGCTCTGTGCGGTCCATTGACATTAAACCCAAGTTAAGTCCAGAGAATAAAGCCGAAAAGCATAGACATGTTACAATAATGATTATTGCCACCCATACCGGTAATAAGGGTTCGTGTGTTTTTATTTTCAAACAATCAGAATTTCCTTGATGCTCTAAAGGCTTTGTTGTTGCGGCTTTGCTATGCTAAAAATAGGAAATAATATCGATTTATTTTGAGGTTTTATTTTTTATTTTTATAGATGATTAGCTTAGGACCCAAATCATAATTCACAACATATTTAAACTATCAAATTAATTTCTTTTATTGATAAAAGAAGAGAATAACCAACAGGAAACGCTTTGATTCTAAATAACGGCCGAACCCCACGCCTCGAAAAACTAAGTTGCTTTCGTTGAAATTACCGGAGTTCTGCGGAAAATATACAGAGAGGACCAGCTGGTTTAATTCATTTACCACTTTAATCGAATCGGATACTAGCATTTATGTGCTCACCAAATTCATCCATTTAAAATTTTGTCGCATTAAAAACGGTTGAGTATCTGGAATTGTCTACGCCGAATTATAAACAAGAAAGAAAGCAAACTTCGGCAAGCCGAAGTTCATATACCCTTGCAGCTATCGCAAGAATTAAATATTTTTGAAAACATTAAAATTATGATTTACTTTCGTATATGTTTAAAAACATTGAAGCTATGACGATTTGCAGCTTAATTATTTGATTGTTCTTTTATATATTTTTATTATTTGTATGGGAGCTATATGATATAGTCGTCCGATTTTGATGAAATTTAAACCATAATTCTGAAATATTTAACCATTGCTATATGTCGAAGAACTAAACAATAAATTAAAAAACAGCAAAGTTATAATTTTTTTTCAATTATTTTTCCGATTGTTCCTATGGGAGCTTTATGCTATAGTCGTCCGATTTTGATGAAATTTTAACCATAATTCTGAAATATTTAACCATTGCTTTATGTCGAAGAACAAAACAAAAAATTAAAAAACAGCAAAGTTATAATTTTTTTTCAATTATTTTTCCGATTGTTCCTATGGGAGCTATATGCTATAGTCGTTCGATTTTGATGAAATTTAAACCATAATTCTGAAATATTTAACCATTGCTATATGTCGAAGAACTAAACAATAAATTAAAAAACAGCAAAGTTATAATTTTTTTTTTAATTATTTTTCCGATTGTTCCTATGGGAGCTATATGCTATAGTCGTCCGATTTTTATGAAATTTTAACCATAATTCTGAAATATTTAACCATTGCTTTATGTCGAAGAACAAAACAAAAAATTAAAAAACAGCAAAGTTATAATTTTTTTTCAATTATTTTTCCGATTGTTCCTATGGGAGCTATATGCTATAGTCGTTTGATTTTGATGAAATTTAAACCATAATTCTGAAATATTTAACCATTGCTATATGTCGAAGAACTAAACAAAAAATTAAAAAACAGCAAAGTTATAATTTTTTTTCAATTAGTTTTCCGATTGTTCCTATGGGAGCTATATGCTATAGTCGTGCGATCCGGCTCGTTCCGACTTATATACTACCTGCAATAGAAAGACAACTTTTGGGAAAGTTTCATGCAGATAGCTTTAAAGCTGAGAGACTAGTTTGCATATAAACGGACGGACAGACGGACGGACAGACGGACATGGCTAGATCGACTCTACTAGTGATGCTGATCAAGAATATATATACTTTTTAGGGTCGGAAACGTCTCCTTCACTGCGTTGCAAACTTCTGACTGAAATTATAATACCCTCTGCAAGGGTATAAAAAGAGCTTCAGCTTCTTAAGGATCGGCTCGAAAACACGGTAATATCTTGCAGTCCAATGCCGAATTCCGACTCCGAAATTCTGGATGACCTTGTGTTTCACTTGGCTCGCAGTAAACAATATGACTAAACGTTGGAAAGGTGGGAGAGCAAATTCAATTGATTTAAATGGCCGTCATAGCGGCTACTTTGCACCTTTATTGATATTAGAACATTCATTAAGCATGACGCGAAGTGAAGAAGAGCGTTCTGTCCGTAGTTTAAATCCTTTAAACCTATGCAGAGATACTATGAAGTAAAAAGGAATGGACTATACCTAGTATGTATAGCAAACAGCACAAAACAAAGGAGTGTACTGGTGAGCGTTTCTCTTGTTGTAATAAGCCACAAAGAGGAAAAGTGAAATTAGCCCTTCTGTTGACAATCAACCCAATTCCAGTTCGGTGCATAGTGCGTTGTTATTTGGTTGAGTCAAAAGATTGCCGGTTTTTCCCCTGCAGGTGCGTGCTAGACTCAGGATGCCAACTAAACTTTGTAAGACAATTGAATTGGTCGCTAAATGGAAGTCCTGAAGCAAAGCCTATCTCGCGGTCTCCTTGCAAGTTAATTAATATATAAAATAGCCAAACATTGACGGCATTGAAGTGCAGGGCAGTCTTATCTATATAGCGTTTAATTTACAATCCATAAGCTGTTCGATCAGCAAGAATAAAAGGGTAGCTCCGTTTATTGACAAGATCAACGGTATAGAAACTATTAGAGTGGGTGGCCGATTATCTTTAGCCAATGTACCATTTGATACAAAACACCCATATTGCGAAAAGATCACGTTGCTGAAAGGTCACTTTTTAGTTAAATGCGCATGCATTGTGAGCATTTCTGCGAAAAAATTAGCTCGCAGAACAGTGTAAAATTGCATTCAAGCTTTTGCCGGCGCCCAGTCTCAGCTCGTCAGATAATGAGAACATTACCAGCAAGCGGGGTACAAGGAGGAGTCACTCATTCGAATGGACTGGTCTCGATTTGACTGAACCTTTTTGGATGAATTTTAACCAGAGGGGACGACGGAGGCCTATGAAAGTGTACTTATGCATCTTCGTATGTTTCCTAACAAAGGCCTGCCATCTGGAGCTCGTACTTGATCTCAGCACACACTGATTTTGTGCTGAGCTTTATTGCGATAACGCGACACAAGGTTCAAGGGAATTGGCCACTTCTGAAAGCGAACTGAATGTGTAGGACTAAGACAGCAAGCAGCTGATTAAAAATCCATGTAGTCTGCCTTCCATTAACTTTCATTTTATACCTAGTAATTGTGTTGATTGCAAAGGACAACTCACCGCCAGGTCGATGGGCGCTAGTTCGCATCCATGAAAGCCACCCTGACCCAGATGGGCTTTCTTTTAAAGGAATTCTTTATCGGAATAAGCTTCCAAGGCCAGAAGAATGTTTGGAAAAATCTAAGAAATGCCAAGGGCGCCATTTTCAGTTTTTCATCATGAAAAAATTTTTCAATGAAGACCTAACTATACGCTTTTTGAATCCTGAAACCGTTTTTGATATGTTCTTCTAAAATTTCGCTTACATTGTGGTCATTTGAATGAGAACCCCCCCTTAATGCATTTAAATGTGAGAGCTTTGGGTCTCCATGCCAATATTAAATAAAGTAAAGCACTTACATTTGTTGATTCCTCAGCAGATTTTGCACAAATGTAAAATTCATTTATAAATGACGGAAACCTTACGAAGTACGTCGCTGAAAATCCATCGCTGGCCACTTCTATAGGGGTAAACAGGTCAGTTGCTGGCTTTAAACATGCACCACCATAATCATTATTTTCGGTGGTAAACGTTATTGCAGTGTTTTTTTGTAAACCGCTACCGAAAACTCGAAAAGTTTTTTGCTGGTCTATCAACACACTTGGTATGCCTTCATTTGTCTCTACTGTATCGTCTTCCAAGCGAATGCCCACTATTCTAATTGAACTTGCGACGGTCCGACGTAAACGTGAACTGTAAAGCAAAAATAAATAAATAAGTTTAAGTTAAAATTAATGGTATGTTTCTTTTTCTTTAAGAATTATACTATAAATTATAATTATAAAAGTAGGAATAATGTTAGTTTTCATGAGCGAAATCAAATGTATAATGTGAATTACAATTTTTAATTATTACTTATTAAAGTATTCAAAAGAAATTTCCATTTGGTTAATATTTTTAATTGCTTAAGGTTGTAAGATATTTCTAAACAATGCCCAAAAATTTGTTATAAAGAATTCAATCCGATACTGAAAGTTTGATAATTGAAAAAGAACATTGTTTTAAAGAAATGTGGTACAATGCACACTGGGCCAGATTTTGGTCAAAAGTCCTATTTCTGTTTGAGAAAATTAGTTTTGGGACCTTTTTAATATATATTAAGCTAATTTATGCTAACACTTCTAAGAATTTCATTAAATATTATTGCAACGAATAATATATATAGCACAACAAGAACGCACGAAAGAATCTTTATTTCCCCACTTGACCCTCGGCCTGGGGCTGATAATGACAAATAGGTAGCTTTAAAGCGGCCGCTGGACTCTAGCGGTGAACTGCTGGGCTCTTAACAACAGCCGATCTAACGCCCGTCCTTCCGGACTAGTCGCTCTAGGACCTGTACAACTCTCGATGGACGTTCAGGCGTAAGCCGGACTTCGCCAATACGATCCTTGTGGCAAGAAGCTATTTTTAAGCAACTTCCCTTTCGAACTCACGATTACTTGTCGAAGGAATCTTTTTGTGCAACCGAAGTTGTAACAAAGCGTTTAGACTTAACCGAGTGTTGCCCCCTAAGGACCCAGCTACCTGTGTCTTAATTCGGAACCTTCAAACTCTAAGACCCGATCGTTTCGAAGTAGCGAGCTTGCTTCTTGTTGACTTTGTTACTTTATTACTGATCCACTAATACTGTAAGACTGGTGCTTGTTGATTGGTAACAAACGACTGTTCCAGCTTCATGCACTAGGCCTGTTTATTTAGGCCTCTGTTTACCGTTTGTTAAACATATTTAGAAAAGTATGTGTAGTGAACTAATACAATGCACACTGGGCCAGATTTTGGTCAAAAGTCCTATTTCTGTTTGAGAAAATTAGTTTTGGGACCTTTTTAATATATATTAAGCTAATTTATGCTAACACTTCTAAGAATTTCATTAAATATTATTGCAACGAATAATATATATAGCACAACAAGAACGCACGAAAGAATCTTTATTTCCCCACTTGACCCTCGGCCTGGGGCTGATAATGACAAATAGGTAGCTTTAAAGCGGCCGCTGGACTCTAGCGGTGAACTGCTGGGCTCTTAACAACAGCCGATCTAACGCCCGTCCTTCCGGACTAGTCGCTCTAGGACCTGTACAACTCTCGATGGACGTTCAGGCGTAAGCCGGACTTCGCCAATACGATCCTTGTGGCAAGAAGCTATTTTTAAGCAACTTCCCTTTCGAACTCACGATTACTTGTCGAAGGAATCTTTTTGTGCAACCGAAGTTGTAACAAAGCGTTTAGACTTAACCGAGTGTTGCCCCCTAAGGACCCAGCTACCTGTGTCTTAATTCGGAACCTTCAAACTCTAAGACCCGATCGTTTCGAAGTAGCGAGCTTGCTTCTTGTTGACTTTGTTACTTTATTACTGATCCACTAATACTGTAAGACTGGTGCTTGTTGATTGGTAACAAACGACTGTTCCAGCTTCATGCACTAGGCCTGTTTATTTAGGCCTCTGTTTACCGTTTGTTAAACATATTTAGAAAAGTATGTGTAGTGAACTAATACAATGCACACTGGGCCAGATTTTGGTCAAAAGTCCTATTTCTGTTTGAGAAAATTAGTTTTGGGACCTTTTTAATATATATTAAGCTAATTTATGCTAACACTTCTAAGAATTTCATTAAATATTACTGCAACGAATAATATATATAGCACAACAAGAACGCACGAAAGAATCTTTATTTCCCCACTTGACCCTCGGCCTGGGGCTGATAATGACAAATAGGTAGCTTTAAAGCGGCCGCTGGACTCTAGCGGTGAACTGCTGGGCTCTTAACAACAGCCGATCTAACGCCCGTCCTTCCGGACTAGTCGCTCTAGGACCTGTACAACTCTCGATGGACGTTCAGGCGTAAGCCGGACTTCGCCAATACGATCCTTGTGGCGAGAAGCTATTTTTAAGCAACTTCCCTTTCGAACTCACGATTACTTGTCGAAGGAATCTTTTTGTGCAACCGAAGTTGTAACAAAGCGTTTAGACTTAACCGAGTGTTGCCCCCTAAGGACCCAGCTACCTGTGTCTTAATTCGGAACCTTCAAACTCTAAGACCCGATCGTTTCGAAGTAGCGAGCTTGCTTCTTGTTGACTTTGTTACTTTATTACTGATCCACTAATACTGTAAGACTGGTGCTTGTTGATTGGTAACAAACGACTGTTCCAGCTTCATGCACTAGGCCTGTTTATTTAGGCCACTGTTTACCGTTTGTTAAACATATTTAGAAAAGTATGTGTAGTGAACTAATACCGGACCATATCATTTCACCTTTATGTCCACTTTTTACTTTGAGCCCGTTTGCGATAATTTTGCGAGATTTTAGTCAATGCTCTTTATAGCCCACATTGGCTAGCAATACAGGGTCGGGTTCAAATCTCAGCATAGGAGAACAATTTATTTTCTATTTAATTAACAAAATATTACTATTTGTATGAAGATAATATGGTTTATTTCGCCCAGTGTGGAATGGTTAAATATCTTTAGGTATAAAAACAAAAATTTTATAATATTTTTAATAAGCTTCATCTAGTTATACCCCTTAATCGTAGAGTAAAAGGGTATATTGTATACGCTTAAAAGTTTGTTACAGAAAGAAAGAAGCGTTTTGGATCAGGATCAAAAGACGAATCGATTTAGCAATGTCCAACTGTCTGTCCGACCGTATGAACGACGAGATTTCGGAAACTTCAAAAGCTTTCGGATTTGACATGACTATCAGATTCTAGTAATTCTTACGCCCACTCTATCTTCCACAAATTGCAAAAGGCTGTCATGTAACTCTGAGACAGATTAGACCTAATAACTAGACTTTGTGAGTGTGTTTCGGCCATATATATTGGTAGGCACAAACATTTTAAAGATCAAGCTATAATTTTAGAAGTTATTGGCAATTATGTTTTGATATGACAACACTACATATTTGGAAAACGGAGTTCGAGCAAGAAGAGCACCGGAGAGCTCACATACTATTAAATGCTCGTACTTAATTTGTTCTAACTTTGTTTTATACTGTTCGAGTGTGCTTTGCCGCTGCTCTGCATAAGATAGGGTCGCTGTAGCAGCTGGTGGAGTGGCTTCTCGCTGTTTGGTTGTAGTGTTGTCAACGCAGTTCGGCAGATGGCGCCACCGAAAGCACACTTTTTTTTCTGGTGGATATTTATTTTGAAATTTCTTGGACGGGGAACTCTTGTTTTTTTTTGTTTTGATGTAAGAACTTGAAATTCAGATATTTTTTAATTTGACGTCTTCTTTAGCTTAACCCATTTTCGGGAACAAATCTTTTCGTTTAGACTGATATTTTTTTTTGCTTTTTTTTTGGTGGTAATAATTTAAGAAAATGTTTGAAAAAGTATGAAGTGACCACACCCATTATTTAGGGCGCTACCGAAAGTTCATTTAATTTTGAAATATTTATGTTTATAAATACTTAATTTATAGATTTCAATTAAATATTTGTAAATCAGGAACTTAAATACCTTTGCTAAATCTTACAATACAATTTTCTCCGCAGCAAGTGCAGTCTCTTCTAAATAACTTATGAGAATGTTATTCAAATGAACTTATATGTTATAAGCTCCTTTTTCGATAGACAAATTAATCCTTTGTTATCAGAAAGAATATGAAAGAATATGAAAGAAATATGAAACAAAATATGCTCAAAAATTCTTAATTTCGTCAATATTGTTCTGCTCGGTTTAAAATTTAAACTTTTTTTTTCATAAAATATGATTTATTATAGGTGAAGTAACTAACAGTAACTTAAATTATAGTGTATTTTGTGTAAAGTTGGGAAGCAAACTTCTGAGCAAAGTATACATATATACAGCTATAATGAATAAGAATCGTTAAGAGTCCTGTCTAGTACACTCATAGAAAGAGCAAACAAGTCATTTTTTAAAATGAAGTGATAGATTTCGTGTCAGCTCATACAAGTTACAAGCATTTAAGTTTTTTTCCTTAAATTTTTTGTTCAAAATCCTTGGGATTTTTTTATTGAATTCCACCCGGAATCTCTCAGGAATATGGAACTTAATCAATAGCAAATTCGCAAGGAATTCCTGAAGAAAATACTTAAAAGTCCCCAGGAATTCCTGGGAAAAATTGCAATTAATACTGAATAAGAAGGGGCTCTGCCAAAACTCCTTTAATAGACTTAGGCAAATTATTTCGCCTAAGAATTGCGGTGATGGTCTCAATCTGTAGAAAAAACACAGAATTAATTGCACGCTCATCTTCTTCATAAATATTTTACTTAACGCCACTAGCTCCTCCTCACTTTCGATCGGGAAGGAATCAGGTACCTCTGTACCTTGGACTTTCCCTTAAGGAAAATCTGCAGCACGGCCGTCAACTTATACTAATGTGCAAATATATTTATTTATTTATTGTTTATTTATTTATATTTATGCACTTACCTGATTAATTAAGAATTGCCTAAAAGTTTCACTTTTAAAAACACTTCCTAACTCTGTTGCACTCGAATTGAAGTGCAAAGGGAATGGGGAGAACGAAAAAAGAAACCGAAATTTCTGCCTGACGCGTGCCAGGGTATATCCGACCATAACAATGCCTTGTAGTTAAAATCACATAAGGCAGATAATCAAATATTAACATTTTGGCGTCTATTGCAACTTTACAATAACTTCCAAAATGTTATTACATTTAATCAATAAAAATCATTTATATATCATCTTAAAAATTAATA